ACTTTTTATGATTTTTATGACTTTTTATGATTTTTATGAATTTTTGCCATGGTTATTAAGTGAATCACTACAGTTTTAAATGAATAACATAGTCATTCAGTGAATCTGACTTCCCTCTTGATTTTGCTTGTCAGAAGACAGCCAAAAAAGTCATAAATGGTGATCAAAGGCCCATAGACACTGCAACATGCCGGTTGCCAAGTAGCCAAATTTTGATCATGTGACCATGGGGGGGCAAGCACTGCAAGGACCAATTGTAAGTTACTTTTTTCAGTTGCGTTGTAAGTTTGAACAGTTGTTAAATTAATGTTTGGAAGTCAAGGACTATCTGTAATCAATCTTTTCAGCAAGAACATTGGCTAGACTTTACCTGTTTGCTTCCATACACCACGACAGCATCACACCACGCAGCAGGAGCACCAGGGACTGTGATGTTACATGCATGTCGAAAAGGCAGAGGATTCACTTCATCAAAGCCATATTCTTTTACCAGTTCAAGGGTGAGGGACTGTGGAGACCTTCCACTGCAAAGCAATCAGAGATACACAGGTGAAGCATATAAAACCCAACCTTTATTCATTTTTTTAAAAAAGACTGATGCATCACAATTAGCTTAGCAAACCCCTGAGCATCAACCATTCAAAATAATGCAAGTGATTTCCAGGCCATTTAAATAGGCTATAACATTACAGTTCATATTCCTGGAAACTTTTGTTATTTCAACCAATGCTTGTTCTATAACTAATCTCATTACATTGCTCTCCACATTTTAGGATTTTTCCTAAGAGCTCTTAGTATTACACTTCTAAAGTCCATTTCAAGACTATTATGTCTTTCCCTCCTTAATAGATGTTCTGAGATAATGGGGGGGGGGGGGAAGGGGAGAGGACAGTTACAAATGGAAGATGGATGCCTGGCTCATGTGAAATTCATACATAATTGTATAATTAAGATCTTACTTAGAAAATGACTTTTGTTCATTCAGGCCTTATCCCACTTGTTCTTTGCCCCAGCATAATCTCATATCATCTAGCCATCTTCTCCCTTGTCTACATGATGCTGTCCTCATCTCACAGCTCATGAATAAAGATGCCAAAAATGTCGTTAGCTGTAGCATATAAAGGTCATACTTTCCTCCATTATCCCACTCCATTCCAAAGATGGATCAAATATATAACCTTTCCTTATATATCATTCAGTAAATTCATATACAGTTTACAGGGATTCCCAGTAGTTAACAAAAAACAGCACATGACATAAGCTGACAAGGGTAAACAAAACTATTTAAGTAAAAAGAAAATTTAAATGGAGAAACAGCAACATTCAAAACATCATCTTCCTCCTCTTCCGAAAACTGTTTATAAAAACCCTGGTTCCAAAAATGAAAGAGGAAACTGATCTAATTGTTAAGGGAGGATATGGAATGCTTTTCTAAGTAGAGGTGTTTCATATATTTATGATGGTTGCAGATCATCAAAACAGTTGGCTGAATATTCCTTTTTAGCCAAGGGTCAGGATGCTTAATTGACAAAATTGTATCTCCATTTCTGTGTTGTGCCAGGGATGCAAAGTACACCTTGAATTTTGATACCATTCAAGTAGACATTTAGCAATGTACATTATATTGTATGAGGTATATAAGTCAGTATTTGATACACAGTATTTGAGTTAGTATAATACTAACTATATAATATTATTTA